TAGATTGGAACATTCAATATTAGTAAGAGTCAATTCTTCCAAAATTGATCTCTAGATTTAATGGAATTCCAATTAGAAGGCCAGAAAGTTTCTTTATATAAATTAAAATGCTGATTTTACAATTTATGTAGGAATGCAAAAGGCCATAACTAGCTAACAGAGTCTCAAAATTTAAAGAATTTATATACAGTTATCAAGCCTTCTTATGAAACTAAGAAAACGAAGAGTATAGATTGGTGCAAGAAAAAGACAACCAATGGAACAGAATAAAGGTCTTAGAACCAGACCCACACATACACGGTCACCTGATTTATAAAAAGATGCTACTGAAGTGCATGGAAAAAGAATAGTATTTCCAATAAATGATACTAGGGCAATTATTTATTTCTATTCTTACACAACTAGGCTATCTAATCTACTTTACTAGTTCATTTAGAATCTCAAATATCTACTACTCCAGCTAGCTCATTCTGCTGAGCTAAAGACTTTCATATTTCACTGCCTCTTGGGCATCCACTCATGTCTCAAACATGTCCCAACCTGAACTCATCCTCATTGCCCTTCCCTCACTTATTCCTGTGTTCTCTATCTCTGTGAATGGTTCAGAGGAGCATTATCCAACTAAAAATTCTGGAAAAATGTGTTTTTGCCCTCTAACAGTGATTTTCTCTCTTGAAACAATTACATTCTATCTGTAAAATATGTAAATGGTGAACTTGGTGAAAAATTTAGTTTAGGCAATAATTCTGTCTGGGATTATTCCCAGGGACTGTACTAGCACAGCTTCTGGGTGGCCTAGGGAAATCTTTCTCAGTTTCAAAACCCATTTCTAATGCTCAGTTCTCTTGATTCAAACATTCATTTTTCACACCCTAAGCCTAATGAAGTTAGGATGAAACATGAACTAAAAGAAAAAAAAATACAAAGAAGAAAGAAAAAAACTTTGCCTGTTTGGAAACAGGAGTAGGTTGTGATATTGCTTACACCAGGACACACTGAATTTTAAATTTTGGAATTAATTCTTCCTCTACATGTCTTCCAAAGACTGCACCATGATAGAACACAGAAAAGTTATATGCACAGAAGACAGACTATCACTTCCAGCAATGTAATTTCTAAAACATAGTAGTATATGGGATTTCAAAGCTAGCAAAAACAAGTGGGCAAATTCAAGTACAAAATAGGCCATCATAAAAACAAAACAAAACAAACAAAAACAAAATAGGGCCATCTTTCAGACACTGAAAACATTTCTGGCTGGCTTTCAAGAGATGCTATTTGACTTTAACTTCTAATTATATGAAATTCAATTAAGAACCGTAAAAGAATGTCTTTAACCAAATAAATGTAGATGAAAATGATATTTTTGAAAGGCCCCAAAACTGCACTATTAATCTAAAGGTGCTATAAAATTAACGATCCAGTGCCTAGGTGGCTTGATCATTTTAAGCATCTGCCTTCAGCTCAGGTTATGATCCCAGGGTCACGCTCTCTGCCCTGTGGGGAGTCTGCTTCTCCCTCTGCCTCTGCCCGTCTCCCTTGTTCATGCTCTCTCTCAAATAAATATTTTTTAAAAAATATAATTAAAGATCATGAGTACACTTTCTGAAAAGCAACAGACTACAACCACAAATATAGAAGGTCAAAGGTATTCAGAGCAGCCTTTACACTACAAGCATGAAGACAGCTTAGTGTGTACGAGATGTGGGAGAACGAGGTAAAGTCAATGGACAAATAGGTAACACTCGGAATAAGTTCAAATACTTTTGTATAGAATTATTCTAGTCTTTTTTCTTCTCCATACCTTTCCCCTAGAAAAAAAGCTGCTAACAGTTTTATGGTTTCTCAGTAGGTCAACAAACATTTCTGAAGAAAAGCCTGGAAAGTCAGAGAACCAGGGCCTGAACTCTAGCAGACACATCTGCACCCCCAACAGAGCCATCTCATTGAACACCCACACAGAAACATCTTTAGGATGTTTGCATCAAAGCTAACCAGATGGAGACGAAGGGCATGCCCCAAGGGGATTGCTTACCTCTTTCTGGCACTTCACCTTTATCTTGGGACTGTCCCTTTGTCATCAGGGTGACTTGGGAAAGAGCAGACAACAATGCAGGCCTAATTTGGACTTGGCAAAATTCTTATGTGCCACGTTTCATTCTCTAAAAGGTAACATGCCTGCCCTGCTTATCTGATGGGGGTCAGTGGTTAAATCCTAGTGAGGGAATATGTGAAAAGGCTCTTTCCAAACTCTAAGTGCTATGCAAATGCCAATTTTTACCAGCGTCATCATAAAAACATAATGATTTATAACACCAGATATTAACACCCCTTGCTGCTCTGATTTTACTGTACATGCTGTTGGGTTGCTGATCCAATTCTGCTCTATGGGTTGCTCCAGATCTTTTCAGGACTTAGATTCTATCTCAAAGCTTATTCTCAGGTTTTGAATAAAGTATCAAATGTTTCCCTGTTCTTACTCAAAGCACCATCTATTCAAGTAGTCACTTTTTTGAACTTACCTGTTCCAGTGATTTCTTATCAGTAAGAGGAATATGTTTCTGCACAATTCTTAGCAATGGCCTATCTTCCAAGAATCTTTTCTGACCCTCCCCTGGGTTAGGCTTCTTAGCTGCCTTTTATATCAAGAGGTCCAACACATAACTTCTTTTGCCTTAGCTGGAGGTACAATTCAGCACTGAAAAACCTGCCTTTTTTGTAGTTTTCTTTTTCAAGGAGGCCAACTATTTTGCAAAACAAACATTTGTTAAATTAAGTGAATCCATCAAATACTACAAATTTCACTTACACACAGATTAGACAAATAAGTTTCTTCACAAGCTTGGCGGATCATTTTTAGCCAGGAAACCCCAAGACGGTACAGATGGGGAGATCAAACCTTCCCCAGAAGGAGCCCTGCAGTTAAATCTGGAGGCCTCTGGAAGAACATCAGGAGACAGCAGGAGACCTGGGCTCCTAGCCCACCGATAAGAAAAGAAAATCTCCTGTTGGTCAACCTGAAGCCTTTCAAAAGCATGAGAATTTCCCAATTCTCCCATATATCCCCTTTCCTATGCACAAAAGTTAAACACATCCAATCGCCAAATACTCCCATCCTAGAAGGCAGAGAAATTACAACTCTGCTTTGACAGAGTCATCAAAGGTTGGGACTGTTTGGGATTTTGTTTTCCAAACTCACTGCTGGCCCGGAGAAAGTATGACACCACCATCTTAAGCACAAGGCAGCTGTTCGTTTTTGGCTGGAGTTCAATATAAACCTTACAAATGGTCTGCTAGCTCTATTTTTTAAATAATAATAATTTTGAAAAATCCCATAGTTACACAAAAATCCCAATCTAGTGTTTTCACTATAAAACCTTTCCTGCGGAACAGAGAAAACCATGGATTCCAAACAAATGTCTGAGCCAGAAAGGTACTGGTAGGTTATTTCTGCCAGATAAATGGAGTGGACATATAATCAGGCAGACTGACAATCAATGGCTTAAAGCAGGCTCAAAGAATCACCAGTGAGTATCAATTCTTTCTGAAATATCAAAAGACAAAAATCTACCAACAAATAATTTGTTATTTCAAAAGAGGCCCTTGACAGTTAAGTCACTGATGATACTTTTATTTAGGGGTGAAAATCAGACATCAGAAAACCTTCCCTTCATTCTGAAATTCTAGTCTGTTAATAGATACCAATGTGGCTGTATTTTACTTATAACTCTCCCGACAAAGAACTCACATACAACGCTCAGTGCGTATATTCAACCACAATGTGCCCCCAAAGCCTGGCACGTGTTTTCCCTTTCCTGTTTCCCTCATGACACACTCGAGTATGCACAAGGGCCACATGTTGGTAGTGCTTTAAAAATAAACCTTTTATGGGGCCAGTTTACATTCATTATTATTTTAGCGTGCATATTTGTGGCAGAGCCACACATAGATCTGTAAATCCAGGAGAAACCGAAGTCATTCCTAAACCTTTGGACATTCTTGGGAAGTCAACAGATTTCCAAGCCCAAAAGCAAGAATCTTGACTTGGTGTGTGAAACCAAAGCTGGCAAATCCCCTACAGAGATTGTAAATGTGGGGTCCCTCCATCTCTGTACTCTCTCCCTTTGTTGTCTGCCTATTTATCGTTATAATTGCCAGGCTGTCCCATCATATACTGTGTTCTCCATCCCGGGCACTACGTATGCAGTGGTGCTGACCTTTGCATCAGGCCCACCAATTCTCAAGAAATAACTGACTGACCCCCAAATACTAAGCACAAGTCAAGATCACTGGCTTGCTTTCTATGTGCTACAGGATTGGACCAGCTGCTGTAATATTTCTTCCCTTGGCCCTTCTAATCCTCCAGAAATCACTCCATGTTAGTTTTTCTTTATTGGTAGGCAGCCCCAAGAATATAAGCTGTTGAAATTCTTTCATAAAAATGGTCTAGCCTCATTTCAAAAAACAAGAATATTATAGACATGGGGTGGGAGGGGGCAAATAGTCTACTGTTCCTTTGTATCCAAATGAGAAGAGATACATTCGAGATACACACCCATACACACACTCAAACATAGCTCACATATATGTATTAGATGCAAACACACAGCTTCCCACTAACTTAAGTATCATTTATAAGCATCCTTACATGACTTTCATGTATGAATTGATTTTAGCCACCCTCACCGGTCGAACCACGGTGGGCAAAGTTTTAACCCCAATAAGGCATATGTTCTCTGATCACAAAGGATGCTTAGCAAATACCATCCATTGGCTTGCTTAGGAAAAGACAACTATTTGGGAAAAAAAAATCTTCATTTTAATAACCAAAAAAATCTTCTTGCTGGCTAAACACTACCATTCAGAATGCATTCCTCATCATGCTCGTGTGCTGCCCCTGAACTCCGAATCACCTTCCACAGACATACTCGGGGTTAGATGATGGCAGGGTGAGAAATGGGGGCCAGCCCCACCCGTATGGGTGCCTTGAGCCTTCATACCTGTGCTGATGCTCCTGCAAGACTTGATAAATGCTGATAAGAAAAGTTTGGTTTTTAAAACTCCCCACAACACAGTCCTTGTAGATTCGGAATTCTGCAGCCGTCACCGCCTCACCCTCAGGAATCTGGGATAAGTTGAACTTGAACTCTTTGTGGTGTCGCTGGCCAGGGGAGAACTCCTTCTCGTACTCCACTATAAGATTAAACAAGAGAGAGTGACAACTATTGTTACTTGACTAGGTGCCACAGGCTCACCTCAAGAAAGCTGCCCCGTTTTCATTCAGAAGTGGATTACCAGTTAGCAATGGCTTGGGAGCGGGATGTGTGGGTGGGTGAGGGGTCCCATGAACCAACAGTGGCTGGGCTGTCAGGCTGAGATTCAAATCCCTCATCTTACCCAAGGAGTAAGTAAAATTCTTAGATTTTATTTGGTTTCAATACTTTACATACTTGGTTGAAGTACGTTGTAGGAAAGCAAGTTATTTAAACTCTTGCCTTCGGGTTTCCTCACCTACGAAGGCAAGAGTGAACTGGGCTTCCCGAGGAAGTTGTGAGAATGAAGAGAGTGGTGAACAAAAACGTCCCTGGTGATCCTGGTCCCGGTCACCCCCTCCCAGCCCCCTTTCTTTCCTGCTGCCTGGCCCCCTCAGGTTGGGTCACCTCCTGCCATCAACAGTTGGCACCACTGAGGGTAGGTGTGAGCTGACCTTTGGGAAGAGGGGTCCTAGGGTGGTAGGGGAGTGAGCAGCGCCTTTGGCCTCAACCTGAAGCTCAGCGGAAAGTTTCACTGGGGAGGAGGCGGGCGGGGGGGGCGGTTAGGGTAAAGCTTCAGAAAAAATCCAACTAGAACTCAAGAGCACTGCCCCCCCTTCTCCCGGAGCAGAGGGGGAGCTGCAGGGCTCTGAGGCTAGGGCCCCTCCACTCAAGCTGCACATAGAACCCAGGTGTGAGGACTCGGGTGTGGAAGCAAATTACCAACAGCATACCTTGCTATTTTCTCTAATGCTTTTTTTTTTTTTTTTTAAGATTTTTATTTATTTATTCATGGGAGACAGAGAGAGAGGCAGAGATACAGGCAGAGGGAGAAGCAGGCTCCTCACAGGGAACCCGATGCGGGACTTGATCCCAGGACCCCGGGATCATGACCTGAGCCAAAGGCAGGCGCTCAACCCACTGAGCCACCCAGGTGCCCCTCTAATGCTTTTCTAAAAACTGGGAAAGAATGGAGTCTGGAATCTTTTTTTTTTTTAACGAAATCTATCCCCTGCATGAAGACAATCTATGGAAAACTTCAACCACTGATGATCATTCTTCAGTCAGCTTCCACTGAATCTATATAAAGTCCTGTGTGAGAGAAGTGGTATCGACCTCAGATACTTCACTCCTAATCACTGTAAAAGAGAAAAAAGGACTGCTCTGCTTCCCACCGTAAATCCTTGACTCTTTTCTCCAGGGATTGGAAACACTTCTGGCCTACTGTTCCTGTTAGGTGTTTTTTTTTTTTTTTTTTTTTTATGGCAACTGCAGTGAAATCGCATGAGCAAATTACTCCTTTATGGCAGAGTTCTCCCCAGAGTTGTGGGTAAGGGGGGAAAAAATCAAATTATTTGCCACCTCCAACTGCCCATTTTCTCCCACATGTGTTATTCTCCATGATCACCAGAGAAAAACTTCAGAGATTTAGCTTCTTTAACAAAAAGAAAGGAGAAAGAAAGAAAGAAAGAAAGAAGAGAAAAAAATGTCAATGACTTTATTTTATTTATTCATAGAGATGCAGAGAGAGAGAGAGAGAGAGAGAGAGAGGCAGAGACACAAGCAGGCTCCATCCAGAGAGCCCGACATGGGACTCGATCCAGGGTCTCCAGGATCACGCCCTGGGCTGCAGGCGGCGCTAAACCGCTGCACCACCGGGGCTGCCCTCAATGACTCTTTATAAGAACCTAAGGCCTCAATGGCATTTGCAGAAGCTAAGGAACTTTAAGCCATCTATAGGTAGGAGGTTTTAAATAAAGAATTTCTGAAACTGCCATAGGACTAAGCTAAAATCTTTTAGAGTCAAGTTATCTCTTTCTTTCCAGGGGGGGATGGGGTGGTTAAAAAAAAAAAAAAGCTTTGGATTGTGTAAGAGCTTGATATAAATTAAAATAAATAAAATAAAATAAAATAAAATAAAATAAAATAAAATAAAATAAAATAAAATAAAATAAAATGTCTAGCCAGAAAATAAAGCATGGTTCAGTCCCAACAAGAGAACAGGTTTTCAAATTAGTGGCTAAGCATGAAAAGCAATCTTGTGGGTGAGTTCACTGAAGGACACCCATACATGAGGGTGTATCGCTTTTCCCTAAAACTGATCTGCCTTTTAAGTGTGATATGTTATCATCAGTGGTTAAAAAGTGAATCAAATCTGATTTCCCAAAGAGACTTTCTAAAAAACAGTCATGTAGCTTTTCTATAGGGCCCTCTGGGTGCTTAAATTTTAATATCAGTAAATAAAAATATATTGTTAAGATTCATTTGAAAGAATGCATAAGAATTCCTCAAAGAAGCCTTTCAATTGCTAGTAGTATACAACAATTAGGAAGAAGAAATTAAAAAATTAAAATAAATAAAAGAAAGAAGAAATCATAAATCATGGATGTGACACAAGATATGAGACAGTAACTAAGATATTTCAGTCATAAGGAGTCAAATTTCAATAAATCAGAAATGTGGTAGCCAGGTTTGCAGAAGTACATCATCCCCATAAACCATACCTCCCTGTATTCGTATAGGGTCCCTCTCCCCTAGAGTGGGTTTTGTTCTGACTTTCTCTGGACCAATAAAATGCAGCAACAGCGGTGCTGAGTGACTCCCAAGCTTTGAACCTCCTTCTGCTTCGGTTTTTTGGACTGCTTATCTAGGGGAAAAATCATTACCATAGGAGACCTCCCACTACTCCGAACCTCCATGCTGTGAGGAAGCCCAAGCTAACCATGCAGAGAGGCTGTACAGTACATGAAGGGACAGATGGAGGAAGAGAGGGAAGCATACAGTCAGCCTCCCACTACTTCACCTGAGGCACCACAGCTGTTCTACCGAGATGCCATCTCAGGTGCCCAAACCAGGGGAGACGTTGGAGGACTCCAACCCCAGCCAGCCTCTGATTGCAACTGCATGAGGCACCAAGCGCAAGAATCACCCTCTAGAACCTGGTCATTTCCCAAGACTGTGGGAGACAACAGCACATTGCTTTACGCCACTCTCATTTGGGTGATGTGTTACACAGTCACAGGCAACTGACTGACACAAGAAGGAAAGGGAGGACAGGAGAGGACAAGAGAAAGAAGGGGAAGTCTGAACTTGCTAGGATGGGGAGAAACCGCATGCATCTCTTAAGGATGTTGAGATGCTGGGAGGCAGTATGTATGACTGAGGAGGAGCCCTGGCAGGCGTCCACTGACAAATGTGAAAGATAAAGAACCTAAAAGAGAAAATAGGAACATCGTTCAAAGCCTTCACTTTACTACAATACGAATTAGAACGCATGGCCTTATGTGAGCATTTTCCCATTTCTCTACTGAGATAACATTATCTGGAAGCAGTCTGAACTGTCTTTTGCCTTTCTTTTATCCTTCTCTGAGAAGATTCAGGAATCTGAGCCTCCACTCCCCTATCTCGTTATAAGCGCTCTCACTCAAAAACTTCACTCCACTGTCTTCCAAACCTCTCTTGAGGCCTCTGCTTGGAAGAAGCTGGACCACCTTCTTCCCACTCCCCACGATACTTCAGCTGTCAGCCATGGGAGTTCGCCTGGAACTCCTTTCCCCCAGTCTTCGATTTCTATAGTGAATTTATATAGTGTGTTCATGAGTGTCTGGGAGGGAGACAAGACATAAATGCAGTTAGATCCCTGCCTCCATGTGCATTTGAAGACCTCAGTGGTAAAACTGTAATGTTTCTAGCGAACTCTGCATTCCCTGCCTTCAAGCTCTGTGATTCTGGACTCTACAAATGTCAGACAATCCAAAATATGGGAGGTACTGCAAGGGACCGGGCCAAGTTATGAATTCAGCTCTCAGGACTTGTTTTGTAGCCCTTAGCATTTCAGCTTTGCACTGGGGGTGTCACATGTGCTATTCAATTGAGTAGTAGCTATGCGTGTTGATGAAGGGTCGTGCTGCCAAACCGGTTCTGAATTTTTAGCTCCCCTTTCTCTGACTTACGTGATGCCGAGCAAGACATTAGCCAAGGTTCCAATTATCAGGGAAATGGCAATAATGCCATTTCTGAGCTTTAAGTGGGACAATTTCTACAAAATAGTGGTAGAGAAAGTACTCAAATGTTAGTTTTGATCATCATCAGCTGATGTTTGAGACGCTAGCTCTACTGACTTGGAGTAGGTCTCTGCTGAGTTAATTCAAATTTATTCAGGAGTCTTTAGGTAGGGCCGATCAGCGGTTCCTCTAAATCACCTTATTAAGTTGAAGAGCTGCATTCTGTGTCAAAAGTGGTAAGTAAAATCACTACCTTGAGTATCATCAGCCTTGCTGTTTGGCTAATGAATGCCGTTTCTGTTCTCTGAGGCAATAATTCCTAGAATTTTTTATTTCAAGGACCATAACATTTTTCAATGGTAATGACCTTATACAAGGTCATCTACTTTTTTTGTTTGCCATTTGTAAAGACAATAAAAAAAAACAACACAACAAACTGCATCCTTTTAACTCTATGATCATTTCTGAAGGTTCTTTTAATACCAAATTAAAGAGGACATTAATTGAAAAATACAATCCTTGAAATCGAATAAACTTAGCTTTATAAAACTCACTCTATTGTCTCTTTCTGCCTTATACTATGCCAGCTGAAATTCAGACGAGCACCAGATCTTTGACCAACATGTAAGAGCCAGAGCTCTAAATAATAAGAGTTACTGGTTGAGGATTAAAAAATGTAAGTTATGTAATACTAAATATGAAAAAGGATATATGCAATTTATAGAGGTAATGAAGCATCATAATAAGGACCTAAGGAAACCAGCACCCAACTTAAAAACCAGAACATGACCAATACCATGGTATTCCTCTCTGGTGCTATCCCCAACTCTTGCCCGAAAGGTACCTAGAATCATGAATAATGTCTAGCATTTTCTTGCCTTTTAAAAACTGATAGTTTTACTATATATATGTACATATCACTAAATCAGAGTGTTTT